TTAGGTTATTTATTTGAGATTTTTCTTGTTTCTTGAGATGATGACATAAACTTCCCTCTTTTTTTTTTTTAATCCTCACCCAAGGACATTTTTGCCTGTGTCTTCAGATAGAGTGGGAGGGAGACAGGGAGGAAGAGAGAAACATTGATGTGAGAGACACATCGATTAGTTGCCACCCATACGACCCCAACCAGGGCCAGGGACAAACTGTAACCGAGGCATGTGCCCTTGGTGGGAACCGAACCCGGGACTCTCCAGTCTGCAGGCCGATGCTCTAACCGCTGAGCCAAACCTGCCAGGGCTAAACTTCCCTCTTCTTACTGCTTTTGCTATATTCCAAAACTTTTGCTATGTCATATTGTCAATTCTCATTTATCTCTATGTGCATTTTTTCTTCTTTGATCCAGTCCTTCTTTAGTAGCATGTTATTTAATCTTCACATATTTGTGGTTTTTCAGGCTTTCTTTTCTTTTCTTTTTTTTGATTGATTTCCAATTTCAAAGCACTGTGGTCAGAGAATATGCTTGGTCTGATTTCAATCTTCTTAAATTTGTTGAGGCTAGTTTTGTGTCCCAACATGTTGTCTAACCTTCACAGTGTTCCGGGTGCATGGAGAATGTATAATCTGGCATTCTGGGATGAAAGGCTCTGTGGATATTGACTATGTCTATTTGGTCAACTCTGTCATTTAAGGTCAATATTTCCTTACTGATTTTCTGTTTAGATTATCTATCCATAGTTGTCAATGGAGTTTTCAGGTCCCCTTTATAACTGTGTTTTTGCCAGTTTTTCCCTTTAGTTCTGTTATTAGTTGCTCTATACATTTTTGTGCTCCCCAATTGGGTACATAAATATTGATACATAATGTCTTCTTGATGCATTATTGCCTTTATCATTATAAAGTGTCCATTTTTATCTCTTATTGCCTTTTTAATCTTGAAATCTATTTTGTCAGATACAAGTGTGGTTACACCTGCTTTTCTCTGGATGCCATCTGCTTGGAGAATCATTTTCCACCCTTTCACTTTGAGCCTATATTTGTCCTTCCAGCTGAGATGTGTCTCCTGAAGGCAGCATATGGTGTGGTTTTGTGTTTTGATCCAATCTGCTACTCTGTGCTCTTCAATAGGTCATTAGACAAAGATGATGTGGACTTCTGGTCAAGAAGGCGGCGTAAGTAAATGTGGTATCGCTTCCTCCCACAACCACATCAAAATGACAACTAAACTACAGAACAACCATCATTCAGAACTGCGAGAAATCGAGCTTAATGGAAATCCTACAACTACGGAATTAAAGCAGCAGCCACATGGATACTGGTAGGAGGGCGGAGGCAGGCGGGATGGTCCCACACCCACATGTGGCAGATAAAAATCAGGAGGACACCTCGGCTGGGAAGGTCCTTCCTGAGGACTGAGGGGTCCCCGCCACACCAGGTGCCCCGCTCAGGGTTCCAGTGCCAGGAAGAGAATCCCCATAACTTCTGGCTGGAAAACCAGCAGGAACTGAGGCTGAGGGAGGCTGAGGCTGAGGGAGGCTGAGGCTGCGGGAGCCCCAGGCAGCTCCTCTTAAAGGGCCCACGCACAGACTTACTCAGACTCACTCCTTCTGGGCTCCAGCATTGGGGAGGTAGCTTGAAAGGCACCAGAGACATATGGGGAAGAACTGAGTTGTTTGGCATCGGGGCAAAGGCTGAAGAGGCAGCTTTCTCCTAGACAGACATGCTGGTGGAGGCCATTGTTCCTTTGGTGAGCCCTTCCCCAGGGCAGCAGACGGCCGCCACATCTGTGACTCCAGCAACCTGGCTCTCACTGTCTGCCCTGTGATGGTGATTCCCTGAGGCCCTTCCCACCCAACTTTTGGGCCCACCCAGGCTGTTTCTAATGGCTTTACCATAGGATTGTCTTGTCTTGGATCTTGCTTCAGATTTTCCTAAAATCTCTCAAACAAGTAGCACCTGGTCTCAGTGAGCCCCATACCTCTCACTAAGTGGCCCCAGGCCTGGCACTAGAAGCAGCCAGCCTTGGTTCACAACTTGGTTTTGCCTGGGCACCTCCAAGCCCAGCACAAGAAGCAGCCATCTGCAGATCACTTTGTAGCTTATGCCAGTAGCCCCAGGTAGTACACGGGCAGTGGCTGACCTTGCCCCAGAGCCAGCACACCCAGCAGACAGCTTCAGACCACATTAAAATACCACCACTCAACCACCTCCACAAGTGACACACTCAAGGAGTGGACTCAGTGGGTACCAGAGCCCTGATAAAGTAAGTCTTGCTCTGTGTGGTGGGCCCCTGCTGATCCTCCAAGAGAGTCAGTGGGCACAACCAGTCCTTGCAGCTGATCAGCCTGAGTAAATCCCTCCCATTGACATGCCAACAACAGTCAAGACTCAATTACATCAGAAGGGTGTACAGTCCACACTAGGGGTGCACTTTGAGGGCCCAGCTGAGGTAATCAGGGAGGCTGTGCCACTGGATCCTACAGGACACCTACAATAGGCCACCCTACAAAGCCTAGGAGACATAACAACTCTACCTAATACATAGAAACAAACACAGGGAAAACAGCTAAAAATGAGGAGACAAAGACACATGTCCCAAATGAAAGAACAGAACAAAATTCCAGGAAAGGAACTAAGCAAAATGGAGATAAGCAATCAATCAGATGCAGAGTTCAAAACACTGGTTATAAGGATGCTCAAGGAACTTAGTGAGAATATCAACAACATAAAAAAGGACCAGTCAGAAATGAAGGATACACTAACTGAAATAAAGAATAATTTACAGTGCCTGACCAGTTTGGCACAGTGATAGAGCATCAGCCCACTGATCAATGAGTCATGGGTTTGACTCTGGCCAAAGGCATGTACCTCAGTTGCGGTTCATCCTCAGCCCCAGTAGGGGTCGTGTGGCACAACACAACCAGTTGATGTGTCTCTCTCACATAGATGTTTCTCTCTCTCTCTCCCTCTATCTGAAGATAAGTGGAAAAATATCCTTGAGTGGGGATTAAAAAATAATAATAATAATTTACATGGAATCAATAGTAGAGTAGGTAAAGCCAAGAAGCAAACCATTGATTTGGAATATAAGGAAACAACAACAAAAAACCCACCAATCAAACAGCAAAAAGAAAAAAGAATTTAAAAAAAATGAGGATAGTGTAAGGAGCCTCTGTAACAACTTCAAGCATATCAATATTTGTATCGTGAGGGTGCCAGGAGAAGAGAGAGAGAAAGAAATTAAAAACCTATTTGAAAAAATAATGACAGAAAACTTCCCTAACTTGGTGAAGGAACCAGACATTCAAGTCCAGTAAACACAGAAAGTGCCAAATAAGATGAACCGAAAGAGGTCCGTATCATCATCAAAATGCCAAAGGTTAAAGACAAAGAGAGAATCTTAAAAGCCACAAGAGAAAAGCAGTTAGTTACCTACAAAGGCGCTCTCATAAGACTGTTAGCTGATTTCTCAAAAGAAACTTTGCAGGCCAGAAAGGAGTTGATCAGCCTGAGTAAATGGGGAGTAAACTGAGGAGTTTTGACTTTGGGTGGTAAATACACAATGCAGTATACAGAGGAAGCAATATACAATTGTACACTTGAGCCCTTGCTGGTGTGGCTCAGTTGGCTGGAGCATCGTCCCATCACCAAAAGGTTGTGGGTTCAATTCCCGGTTAGGATACATACGCAGGTTGTGGGTTTGATTCCCGGTTGGGGTGCATACAGGCGGCAACCAATCGATATTTCTTTCTCATATCTGTCCATCTCTCTCTTTCTCCCTCCTCCTTCCTCGCTCTTTAAAATCAATAAAAACTTATCCTCAGGTGAGGATTAAAAACAAATCAACAACAACAAAATAAGAAATAAAATTGTATACGTGAAACTTATATAATTTTATTAACCAATATTACCCCAATAGATACTATTAAATTTTTTTTTAAGTAGCTGGAGCTAGCCACGAAGACTTAGCAGGAATGGCCAGAAAGGTAGGAGGAACCAACAGCCAAGATAAAAGGACGGAATGTCAAACATTGCTCTAGCAAAAAAACCGGTAAGAACGAAATTGGCCCGCGGACTCTACCAGATAGAGACCCTCTCAAAAAACAGTGCCGGCAAATGCTTCCAGATTGAACCCAGTTAAGGGAGAACAGGAGGTTAAGGACATGGAGCCTACACAATAGACACTTCTTTCTGTAAAGCGGAGCTGAGAGAAGACAAAGTAACTGGAGAGAATATGGGATCAAAGGAAGTGTGTTTATTTTTCTTTGTTTTCATTAAAAAGGAAGATATTATGACAGGCTTTGCAGTGTTGAGACCAGTTCTATATTGGGGGGAAGTGACAATTAGGCAAGAAGAGATGGGATCCAATGCACCAGTCTGGCGGGGGGAGGTGTCATCCTAGGCTGGGGACGAGAGAAAAGACAAAATACATGGTTCTGCATGCAGGCGGCAGTGGGAGATCTGGGAGTGGCCGGTCCTCACCTGATCACTTCCAATTTCTCAGTGAAATAAAAAACAAGAAGCTAATGTTCTGAGTGTTGGCTCAGAGTGTTGGGGGCGGGGGTGGGATATCACAGATTTCAGGAGAGACAAGAAAGTGAGTGGATCTGCTAGGGACTAGAGTGGAACTGCCAATCATTTCCCCCCGAGAGAAACCTTAAGGCACTTGCAACAGAATCACAATTAAATATGTTGCTGAGAAAGAAACAGTAATGGGAAAAAATTCTCCTTAAGTATGAAATAGTTTAAATAGTTCAACTATCCAGAAGGACTTTAACCAACGCTCATGTACACACTACCCAAGATTTAACCCACGATAACATTTTGTTTCAGATATCTTTGTAAGAAATAAAACAGTCACCGGTGCAGACCCTTAACACCCCTCTCCAACTTCATGTCCTTCTTATAGTTTGTTATATAATATAATGATAAAAATGAATAGGCCTGTCCACAGCTCCATGGTGACTTCGTTCATCCAAATGCCTTTATTTCAGATTACCTGTTATCTGGGTTGTCAAGCAGGTGACCACGGGAAGGGCAGAAGACAAAGCCCGAATGCTGACACTGTAGTTGGTACCGGGACGCAGGTCCAAGCACGTCTCAGGAGCCTGGCTGCTGGTAGTGATATTAAAGTTGATTTCCTGGGAAAATTCCTTCTGATACCATCTCTGGCCCTGAATGTGGAGCTAAAACACAAAAAAGTTCACTAGGTGAATCACTAGTTCAAAAGGCCGAGATCCTTGCATTTCTCATGAACTCTCTTGCTCTCGATTCTAAAGTTTCTTCAAAAAGTAAACCAAAGAACGTATGCATATAAGCATCACCGATGGACACGGACATCGATGCTGCGAGGGGGGCAAGAATGGGAGAAAGGGGTCAATGGGGGGAAAAGGAGAAAACATCTGTAACAAAAATTAATTAAAAATTTAAAAAGTAAAGTACAACAGTAAGTAAATATTAGAATTGCAATACCACAAATATTGTAGTTACAATATTATCAGTATGAGAAATATATATTTTATATCAAAATGTACAAAGGGTCGAGGGCCCAATACTGGCAACTTTCTTTTTCTCGTTCTCACACATACGATGCACAGGCCCCATGTGAAAGTCTACTGGCGGAATTTTAGGAGCAAGGCCAAAGAACATTTTCCTAGAAAGAAAATTAAGAATCTGAAGTAAGGCTTCTCCAAAGCAGGACGTGAATTAGGATCCTCTTAGCTGGTCTGGTGAAATCCGGGAAGAGTTTTTCTCCTCTGCCTGCCCTCTTCTGACATTCCCTACACTTTCCTGTAACATCCAGTACCTGGGCCAATAGATTACACATGCTCTTCCCACTCAATTCCTTTTCATAACAGCTCATCCCATGGTCTATCCTTTTCCTACTGACAACCACATCTAGCTTCAAAATTCCCCCTGGACACTCTAGGTAACACATTCAGACCCTTGTCAGGGACACTGGTGTGGAGAGACACACACATGCAAAAGCCTTTGGATTCCTCCACAGATCCTGCCTGAACATCAACTCTGCACACACGCACACACACAAACAACCTCTCCTGGTTTTCTCAACAATCTCCAAGATCTCTGCAGTAAAAAAAATGCAGCAGAAGTGCCCATTTTATTGCTTCTGATTATAACTGTACTATAATTCTTCTATTGATAGTGGCAGCTATATAAGTAGATTTTTTTTAAACCTCCCACACAACACAAACACCCACAAACAGAGTAACTTTCAGTAACTTACTAAATACATTTCCTCTCTACCAGCTGTCTTCATATTTCTCCATCTCAAGCAGGTTTCATTAAATATTGAAATGTTGCTGATGGTCTGTTTAACTGAAGGGAGAAGAGAATGAGAAATCAATGGACGAGCTATACAAAAATACGACCTTTTCCAAGGATAAGCATTTACATAGGATGATTTCAGCAGTATTTTAATTTACAAGTGAGTGGTAGTAGTATACTTTTATATTTATGTAAACTCAGTCCTAATGAAAGATATAAGATTACAAAATGCCCGATCAGATGATCCCTATTAAAAATTATTTAGCCTGGCTGGTGTGGCTCAGTGGATTGAGTGTTATCCCATGACAATTCTGGTTCGATTCCTAGTCAAGGCACATGCCTGGGTTGTGGGCTCAATTCCCAGTAGGGGGCGTGCAGGAGGCAGCCAATCGATGTTTCTAACATCAATGTTTCTATCTTTCCCTTCCTCTCTCTCTCTAAAAAAAAAGAAGAAAACATATTGAATAAATAAATAAATTATTTAAATCTATTCACTGCAAACTCCCTTGGTTTACTTAAGTTAAAACGGCAACTCACTGTACCAACCTTGGACAATGTCACTTATACAAATAAACATCAGTTTGCAATTCTAAGCTGAAGACAATATTTCAGCCCAGAATCGAGAATCTCTGGGTGAGGGACTGAACATGCCTATCTCAAGCAGTTGGGCTTTTCGAGACGGAAAGGGGGAGGGGTGTTCTTGCTTTGGGCTTCCTCATCTCTTACAGTCAAAGTATTTGTTGGCCTCTGCTCTGTTTCATGGTAATCAATCCAAAAGTTAGTTCAGATTGGGTACAGTGTAATGTAGAGGTACCCCCCACCAGCTTTTAAAAATAAAGACTATTTTCAAAACTCTGATATCAGAAGTTCACCGCCTTCCATAATGATCCCTGTCCCTACAATGGAAATAATGGCGCAGACTTGCTGAGAAGGTTCCTAGGAACACTGATCATTGAGAAGTGATCAAGACAACTCCCAAAGCGCCTGAAAGAAGAAAGGCTCCTGGGAGCCACACCTTTATTGTGTAAGCCCCTGGCCCGACAGGTTCCTACAAATGAAGCCAATTGGTCGACCTGAGAGTTCTTTATGGATTGGCAGCTTTGCCCAGAGGAAACCTGTTCCACAGGTCACACAGAGTAAGTAAGAAAGTAGAGATGACAGGATAACAACCTCACTCCTGGGTTTAGAACATGGTTTTAGAGATAAATAGCAGTCGTCCAAGGAACCTCACACTGATGAAGTTTACAAAAATAAAGTAACGATGATACTATTTAAACAGTTCCAGACCATACAAAAAGGTGGAAAGTTCCCCAGTTCGTTCACTATGACTGGATAATCACATGCCCAAACTGTACAAGGCACAACCAATCACTAAACACACTATGCCAAACTCACTTATTAATATAAATACAAAAATCCAAAATAAAACATTAGCAAATAGAAGTCAGAAGTACATTCAAAGAACAATACATGCTGATCAAGGGAGATTTATTCTGGGAATACAGAGATGACCATTCTTGGGAAAGCTATTAATAGATTAAAAGAGAAAAAACATATGGTTATTTTTATAATTATAGTGATTAATACATTTAATATATATTCCTGACTAAAAATCTTAGTAAACTAGGATTTAATTTGATGAAAACTTCTTAATTTAAAAGAATGTTTATGAGAAACCACCCTGCTTATAAAACATACTTGGTAAAACAATGCAGCAGTTTCTAGTAAAGTTAAAAACAAAACAAGGATGCATGGTCTCTTAGCTATTACTTAGCATTAGTCAGAAGACTCCAGACAGTCAGGAAAAGGCAAGAGAAAAATGAGCTACAAATACCATCAAGAAAGAGAACTAATAATGCAACTGCCAGTAAATCTAAGAGAATCAACTGAAAAACATACAAAATTGTTTGAAAATAGAAAAACAAATATAAATAATAGAAGTTTCATAAAGTGCACCCAAACACAAAACAGAAAAACTAACAGTTTTCTACATAGCTGCAAGAACAAGTATGATAAGCTGAATAATGGCCCTCAAAGATGTCCACATCCTGGTCCCTGGAATCTGTAGTCATGCCACATCACATGGCAAAAGGACTTTGTGATTAAGTTACGAGATTATCCTGGATGAGCCAGATGAGCCCAATGTAGTGACAAGCATCCTTATAAAAGGAAGACAAGGAAACCAGGGTTAGAAAGAGATTTGAGGATAAAAGCAGAAGTTAAACTGATGACCTACAAAGATGGAGAATGGGCCATGGCCGGTTTGGCTCAGCGGTAGAGCATCGGCCCTTGGACCAATGAGTCACAGGTTCGATTCCAGTCAAGGGCATGTACCTTGGTTGTGGTTCATCCCCAGCCCTGGTTGGGGTCATGCAGGAGGAAACCAGTCGATGTGTCCTTCTCACATAGATGTGTCCCTCCCTCTCACATAGATGTTTCTCTCTCTCTCTCCCCCTTCTCTCCCTCCCTCCCATTCTAGCTGAAGACAAATGGACAAATATCCTCAGGTGAGGATAACGATTTTTAAAAATGGAGAATGGGACCACCAGCCAGGGAATGCAGGCAGCCTCTAGAAACTGGAAAGGGCAAAAAACAGGTTCTCCCTTCAAGCCCCCCAAATTAACACAGGCCTCCTGACACCTTGATCTTAACCCAGTGAAACTGATTCAGACTTCTGACCTCCAGAAGATATTAAATTTGTGTTGCTTTAAGCCACTAAATTTGTACTAGTTTGTCACAGAAGCAATCAGAAAGTTAAATACCAGATAAAAGACAACAGAAAAATTAAAAGATCCCTAATCCCAGGAGAAGACATCATGAACAAATTGCATCATGAACAAACTTCCAGTATCTTGGAATAAATCTGACTAGAAATGTCCAAGATTTACAGGAAGATTTAAAAAAAATTTTTTTTTTCTCTAAAGGACATTTAAAAAACTACATAAATGAATAGGAAGATTCCCAGGTGAAAAGACAACAGTTCTCCACCAATTAATCTACAAATGGAATGTACTTCCAATGGTGATTCTGCTGGGCCTTCTTTCAATGTGATCACTTGACTCATCCATCCAATGAATATTTAGAAAGTTCCCAGTAGGTGCCAGGCATGCTCAGTTTAGGGGCTGAAGATAAAGTGACGAATAAAGTCACTGCACCTAATGGAATGCATTCTAGAGAGAAAGGCAGAAAAGAAACAAAAACAAATTAAAATATAATCTTGTGTGCTGGTAAAGACTACGAAGAAAAGCATCACAATAGGCGGGGGAGGCCCTTGGTGGAGGTGACGCGGGAACAGAGACCTGAAGGATGTGAGTGAGCCACCAAGAATGGAGAAACAAGGGTCACACGGAGGGCTCCAGATGTAGGAATCAGCTTGGCACACGCAACCAACAGAAAGCAATGACTGCTGAATCCCGCTGGGGGAATTTATGAGACTAGCAAGGGGGGAGACTGAAATAAAAATATTGAAAGAGGACATAACCAGGTATCAATACCTATTATAAAGCTATAAGGTTGTTTCTCAACCTTTTTTTCATTATAGCCCCACAAGGAGTCTTTTTTTAAACAGTTTTTCTGTGATATTAAATTTTTATAGAGGGTAAGAAATTAGGGGGGAAATGTCTTTAAATTGTGTGTGTGTGTGTGTGTGTGTGTGTGTGTGTTTTATGTACTATGTGTATAATATGCTTCATATAAAAAATAATAATTTTCCCCTCAATAACCAATTTTTGGCACTTTGTGGGTGAGTTTTGCCCCCTAGGGATATCACCCCCATTAAAAATGCTACAGTAATTAAACAGTTTCTAACTAGCAAAGGAATAAACAAAATAAATAGATCAATGGAACAGAATAGGACCCAGAAATCAATCTATCTATGCATGGGAATTTATAAACAGTGGAATTTCAAATCAGTGGAAAATAAATTGAGTTGGGAAATAGTTACCCCTAGAAATCAGCTAATATTAGACTCCCACACTGTGTCACATCTACACACGTAATGTTACAGTCGTGGAAGGTCTGCAATTCCTTCTGCTCACAGGAAGCGTCTCACTGGTTAAATTCACTTCCATCTTGGTCAGATGTGACTCTCACTCTAGGTTCCCTTCCCTCCATTCAAGGGCGTATAGCTTGAACCACAGGTCCGAGGAATTTACAGGGAGAAAAGGATCCCAATAGAGGATAGCTCCGCCCAAGTCCCCTCCGATCTCGCTCTCTGATCCTCTGCTATGGAAAGTACATGCCCTGTCTCTCATACAGATATTCCTTCTCTTGTTCACTCTGCCTTCTCTCTTTCTCCACCCAGAAGACCAATCTAATCTGGAACCCTGAGGTTGCAAAAACAGACCTGCAAGAATGCCTCACAGAAGAGAAAATGTGGCTCTTCATTCATCAGATTCTTTGTAACTTTGTTTCTGTCATGAATGCCAGCAAGCAACTCTGGGCAAAACCAAGCATTACTTCTCTATACTCCCTTTGTACCTAGCAAATACCCCAATTACATTGTATGCATTGTGTTACTGTTGATCCTGGCCTATGGCCTTACCGACTGACAGCTCCTTGAGGGGAGAGACTATGTCTTGTTTACCTTTGTATTCCTAGTGTCCAGGACAGTGGCAAGAACAGCATCCCTGATCGTTTAAATGTAAACAAGCAGCCATAAGGGAAAGGCTAAATAACTGATATCATATTAATCCAATGGGATAGAGGTCCTCTGAATAAGACATGGTTTCTGCGCTTGCTATGTATTTCATCTAGGAGAGTAGTTACACCCTGTATCAGTATAACAAAAATACAAGGGAGTGCATAACAAATGCCATAAGGTAGAATTAAGTAATAGTTAACACTTGATAGCTGTTTGTTGTGTGTTAGGTATTGTGCTGGTTCTCCATAACACATTGAGTCTCCCAAGAAACCATGCCATAGGTATTGTTAGTCCCATTTTTACAGTTAAGACAATTTATGTACAAACACATGAACTAACTTGCCCAAAGTCACAGAGAGAGTACAAAACAGACCTGAAATTTGAATTTAGATACCATGATTCCAAAGTA